TGGTTCCTGGGGCATTTGATACAATGCTCTTTGGAAAATACACCAGCAGCTCTGAAACACTTGGTTGTGTAGACTGTTACCTGTTTTTCTTGTAACTTCTACAGGTACCATAAGAACATGTCAGAAATTTCTGATTCAGTATAACAGAAGACAGCTGCTGATGTTGTTGCAAAACTGTACAAATGAAGGTGAGTTCCTCCAGCCACTTTACTAAAATGCAGCCTCAACTCCTGGGGATTTTGTAGGATATGCTGGGCTACTTCTGAATTCTTGGCCTGAGAAATGTTTCTTTCTTTAGAAGTGGAGGATATTCCAGTGTATGTGAAGAGACCAAGTAAGGACCCTCTGTTGCTTTCTTTATTGCAGAGGAAAGACAGTGTATACGGAAGTCGTTGTTGAGCTGTTCCCTTACAGAAGAGCAGTCTCAGAGTGGAGATGAGGAGGATGATGATGGCACAGAGACAGACTGAACATCACTTGTTACTGTTCACCTCCATCCTGAACTTGTGTAATCAAGATGTGACCAGTTATCTTCAGTGTTAAGCAAAGCAGGGCACAGGAAGAGCACCTGTTCATATTTATACTTCATTCCCTGTTCCAAGTGTTCTTCAATAATTTTTTAAAAAATAAAATACAGTTTCCCTTAAGTAGGTCACTTGCCTGTTTCACTCCAAGAGTCCAGGCCACCAGGGCTCCTAAGGAGTGTAGCAGCTCAACGAGGTCTTCATGCTGAGGTAGAAGTGAGCTTTAGGCAGTTGGCACAGACAAGGAATGTAGTTATTCTCCTTCAGTAAAAAAGCACTAACCTGGATTTTACCTTATCTTTCAGTGCACTGTTAGCCACGGGATATCCATTTTTTGAGTCAGCAAAGCACCAGTTGTGTACACAGGAGCAGAGAGTACAGGGAATGCAAGGCAGAGCTGTAAGGCTCAACTCCATCCCACCCATTATAAAAGTCATAGGTACAAGTACTGCTTAGATATTTATTAAGTTTACACCAATCAGTTACAGGAAAGTAGCGTTGCTGGTATTATCTCGAATCCATAGGAAAACAAGATACAATTGAAGACACTGTCCCTATGGAGACTGCCCCTGCAGAAGGGACAGCCTGCCTTGCTCGCATCACTTCCCTTGTCCTAGTGCCTGTGACATGTGGAGGTGACTCACACCAGCTCCAGCTATTCTGTCTCTCTTCCCAATGCAAAGAAAAGTTGACTATAAATGTGCAGAGATAATAGAACACAACAGATACTGGTTAGACACTAAGTTACTCCTGTTCCATGGCTTAAAATGACACACTGTGAACACAGTTAACTGCATATTTGAATGGCTTAGTTGCTTTCTCTGCCCTCACCAACTGTTTTCCAATATGCATTTAAAGCACTGACAGCAAGATGTATTACCACTTCCAGGCATCTTGTCTTAGTTTCTTTGCAGTCCCTGACAAGCTGTACTGTCTTTCCATCAAGTGTGGTTAGTTGTGACCAAGCGTGAAGTCAAGCTACTTTCAAAGAATGTTTGGCAGGTGTTCCCTCTATCCTCCTGCAGCAGCTGAAGTATTCTTTACCTCCCCTCTCTCCTGTTCCTTCTGGTTTACGGCCACTTGAGTTTTGTGATGTGCACTCTTTGGTAGCAGCCTCCCATGAGGCACATGTGCCTCAAGGAAGCACTGGTGTAATGTGGAGCCTGTTGCTTTGGAATTGAGCATCCATGTATTGACATCAGCCTTTCAAACAGGGACACAACCAGTGACTGCCAGTGGTGTTGGAATACCTGACTCCAGGAGCCTCAGACACACACTTTCCTCACGGTGTGAGGAAAAGAGCATGCTAAAGCCTGTAGGAGTGCAGGCAGACCACCGGTACAAGTGGGGCCAAAGACAACAGAAGACACTCAGGCTGCCACTGTAAGTTTAGTGGTACTTTATACAGCTCTCTGGAATTAATTCTTGTCAGCAGGAAGGTAAAATTTGAATCTGTGAACTAAGTTTTCTAGGGCTCCAGGCTGGTCTGACAGGTCAGCTGCAGCTGAGGAGGAAGGGTTTAGTACTCTGAAGTGCATGTGCATATGATTTATTGCAACTGCTGGCCTTGACTGGTACATTACACCTAGAGTTCATTTTATTCAACAAAATCCACACCACTTAACTCATGAGCTCAAATCAAACCACAAGCAGTGCAGAATGTGACCACCCAAAGAAAGAGCGGGGAGGGGTCCAGAAGAGGCGTGTTTGTAGCACACATCAATTTACATCCCAGAACCAAGCAGATACAGGCCCTTATCCCAGTACAAGAGAACCCCAGTTTATTTCTGGGGTATAAAAAGTTATCTACAGACTTCAGCTATCAGTTGTTCTTCCAACTCAAGAGCAGCCAGTGTCAAACCATCATTCAGGTGTTACCAAAAGTCCTAGGGGGGAGCGTTTGTTCTATATGACCAGGTTACAAAGAATGTGTAATTGCCAAAAAACAAAAATAAAATAAAAAAAAATTAGCAGCCTCACTCACCCACATTAAAACAGAGCTGAACAACTGAGAGAAGCCAGGAGGTTCCTCCTACCACTAGTGCCATTTTGAAATACACAAATTCACTGAATCACTTCAAAACCAAGTAGCCAAGTTCTGCTTTACACTCACTCACCTCAGCTTTAAATCTTTCCAAGCCAGGAGAACAGGAGGAATTCTTGCTCTTTAGAAACAGAACAGATATAGCAGCTAACACTCTAAAGCCAGTAAGCTCTTTTGCCTGTTTCCAGTGCAGCCAAAACCAGTTTCTCAAGAGAGCAGTTTGACAGCTTTACTGAAACAGCACCACTGTCAGTCAGATGGACTTCTGTCCATGAATAATTAACTACAGGGAAATAAAGGCTCTCTGCCCTTTCTCTTGGGTAATATTGCAGTACTTTGGCAGTGCTACACAGCTGTAAAGATTTTCAAACTGCTTATCAGGCCAAAGAACTGACTCGGCAATTAGAAGCCTTGGTGGATTTGTCTCTGGGTTGTTACTTTCAAAACTCTGTTTCAGTATAAATTCATTAAGCAGTTGGAATCAAAACATGTTACTTCAACACATATAGTCATGGTTTCCTTCTGAAGCCCCTAGAAGCTCTGGAAACACAAGTTTAGGCTGTTCAAATTTAAATACTTAAAACTATAGCAGCAAAACAAAGCAAAATTAAAAGAAAATCAGGAGAGGAAACTTCTCTTGAATAGCAGAATCACTTTGTGTGAACAACAGAGGTGCTGAACAATAGCTTCTGCTTCTGTTTCTTTCTTTTCTTGCCTCCCTTTTCCTCTGTGAAGAATTAAAATGAAACTGTCATTCTTCTCATGGAACAGGAACATCACACAAATGGTCTTCCCTAACCTAAATGGCTTCTACAGGTCCACGACACTTCCTTTCAACTCACTGAACACCAGGTAGTTTAATTTTAACAAAAAAATTACTGCAGACAAACTAAGGGAGACTCCATCACACCTAAAACACACTTAAAACGAGCATAACTGATTGCAAAGTTGCTGTTGCAACAGCAGATCCCAGGACTGCATGCAACAGCAATTTGTCTGTCTGATAAATACCACTTCCATCCATGTCCAAAAAACACAACTGGAGCTGATACTCCACTGAAACTCCCAGGCCCTCCCATCCAACTCTCTCCATCATCCAGTGCAGTTTCCAGACAGAAGCCAAAGCTGAACATCAGAACTGAGCATTATAAATGGGTTTTATCAGCCAGCATCAGGCTGGTTTAAGTTCACCTCAATTTGTTTCACACTCCTTAACTTGTAATTTCAGCCAGCAGTTACCTCAGCATTTTGGTCAAACTTGAGCGGTAGTTCAGCAGCTCAGGTATTTTTAGTTTAAAAATGCATAACCTGAATTTAAGTTCCAGCAGAGACATGGCAAACAGGATTGTCAAAAGCCATCTCTGTCCTAACAGGATTCTTTGCTAGTTGGAGATCTCAGCTCCCACTAAGAGGCTGCTTTAAGCTGACAGAAGCCATACTCAAGCTGTTCAGAAACCACAACCTGACAATTTTCAGAACTGTTCTCTGGCCAATTTCTGGTCCTCAAAATTGCTGCTCTCACTTCTCCCAGAGGAAGAAGGAGATATATTCCACTTTTTCACTTCAGAAATCTTTCCTGCCTTCCCCTCTGCCTTTTACCTGACAGATGATCAGCCGTGGACGGTTTGTCCAGTTTCAGGAGGGCTGCCTCAATGGCTTGGCTGAAGGAATTCTGGAAGCTGGGCACAGGGATGCGGTCAGAGCTGTCGCTTTCTCCATCACTGTCCACGGGCACAGGGAGTGCCAGAGTGTTCTCATCTGAAAGAGGGAAAGAGATGCAAAGGCTGCATTAAACTTCCCCCATGCAAATGCCTCTCCACACTCCAGATGTTTCTTGTGAAGCTCCAAGATTTCTCAGATTTAAGTGCACGGCAGAGAACCTGAAGTATTAATATCAAATTTTCTTACCTCTTGTCTTTGGAACAGGTTTAGGCCATGTTTCTGGTTTTGCCTTTCCAACTCTCAACATCTATCAAAAAAGTTGTAAGATATGATTAAACTCCATGTATTAGAACCAACCTGCATATACCCTAAGTGGCAAAAAAATTTAGGAACCCCTTCAAGCACTCAAACCCTATGATGTCTCCCTAAGATTTATCCCACATTGTTTTTGTGGGGGAAGCAACTGTATTATCAGATTAACCCCCAACTAAGACATGGGTAATTCTGACAAGATTTACTCTGCTACACAACTTACCTGGGCAAAGGAAGGGAAGGGAGACTCTTCTTCCAAACTCCCACAGAGCAATGGGCTGATCTGGCTGGCAGCAGGTGACAATGGAGCTGGAAGAGACTCTACAGAGAAAGGAGCACAGAATGAATTAAAACCAGCTGCATTCAGCAAAGACACTCATTATGCTGCTTATCAGGATGAAACAAAGTTTTATCTTATGTAATTAACCATTTTTACCTCATTGGTTCCATCCATCAGTCACACAGTGGGACCTCTCAAATTTCCTCAATCTTTTTATTTATGGGAAATTTAAGTTGGGTTGTGGGGGTTTTTTTTGAGTTTGTTTGTGGGGTGTTGGGGGGGTTGTTTTGGTTTTGGGGGAGTGTTGGGTTTTCGTTTTGGTTTTGGGAAAAACATTTAAGATTAGTTTCTATTTAATACTTTTTATGAACCGCAAGATAAAACATTTGGTAAAGCATCACTGGACAACAACCTAACTGAGTGCTTATCAGCTACATTTTATTTTAGTATAATGTGGTGGGGAAGATGGAGAGGGTAGAAAGAAAAAATGCCAGCAGTGTTTTCCTGGCATACACACTTCTCTTCCCTTTTGGGGGCACTTTTTTCCTTTTATTTACCCCAGTAGAGATTTAAAAGATGGGGTAACTACAGGGCAGATCTCCAAGTCACTGAGGTAGAGGTAGTAAAAAGCAGACAAAGGACCAGAATGTTTCTTAGCTACATCAGCCTTTTGTGTATGATCTCACAGGCAACCCAGGAAATAATCACAGAATGGTTTGGGTGGGAAGGGACTTGAGGATCATCTCGTTCCAATTCCCCTGCCATGGGCACCTTTCACCAGACCAGGTTGCTCAGAGCCCCATCCAACCTGGCCTTGAACAGCCACAACTTCTCTGAAAAGAAGCCGTCTTTGATCAGTATTGAGAAAGTTCAGCATGAAGACCTGAGCAATAGATCCCAAAAGAATAATCAAGAGCTACATGTGGTGTGTTTTTGCAGATGCTCACCTGTCTGAAACACAGGGCTTCTGCCAAGAGGAGACTGACAGAAGCTCTGATGATCAATGCTGGTAGTTTCTCCAGGGCAAGAAGTAAAAGCAGGGAACTGCTGCAGATTCTCTAAAGCAATATGGACCTCTGGATCTAGAAAGAGGTTTTAAATTAAAGCACTACACAATGTGGGGGAGGACTGTCAATATGCAAGTTGTTCCAGGAGTCTAGGAGGTGCCAACTCAATTTTCTTTCCACCCTCTATTTCAGAGACCAAGTACAAGCCCTGCTGCTGGATGGAAGCAGTTCCTAGGCCCTTTTTTCCTTCTTCACTTTTCACTCTACATCGTGATTACTATAAAAACAGAAACTAAGAATCCTGAGAGATTTCTACACCCTGGAGATAGAGCTGTGCCCTCAGATGCCCTCTGTCTCTCCCAGAAAGGTAAGTATGCAGCCATTGCATAACATCACTTAACATCCTGACTAAAACAGCTTATGTTTTTCGCTACACTGACATTGTTTCTAACACTTTGTAATCTTGCTCTAAGTACACACTACAAACTAAAGGCCTTAGAGTTCATCCTTACTGCTCACGGAATCAGGCCAGCAACTAAATATGACTGCAAATCCACCAGTTAGGAGCAATCACGACTTACATTTGCCCTGTTTCTTGTTCTCTTCCATCTCAATTCTGCGTTCGCGCCGTCGCTCATCGCGAGCTTTCTTCTGCCGCAGGCGTTTCCTCTTCTCAAGGTCATCTAGGAGCAATGCACAACACTGGGTATCAAAAACCCCACATCAATGCTCTGGCAGTGTTTTCTCCAGCTCTGACAACAACATATTCAGTCATAACGCATCAGTAACAAAATATTCTTACAAACGACATATGCTCTTCCAAGCAGTCAGGAATTTTTTTATTCTTTTTATAATTGTTGTCTAAAAAACAGTGAATTGGGGTTGGTCTGTCTAGCAGTCATCAGATAGTTGATGCTAGAGGAGTAAAGCTGCTATGTATGTTCTTTTTTCCACCATTAAGGGATAAGAATGACTTCCCCTTCACCCTCATGGATACGTGGCAGAGGCTACCAGAAAGGTAGTACCAACCTGAAAACAACTCCAAAGTCTCCTTAGAGATGACAGGTGGCTTCAGAGCCAGTTCACAAATGCTGAACTCACAGGTGAGGGGCAAGTGACAGAGGTAGCGATGACGTTGTCTTATATCCTGATAAAAAGAGAGCAGTACATGATCACAGCATGGCCCAGAGGCTGCCACAGCTTATGGAGATGGAATGCACACCACCCATCAAATCAAATGGAAAAAAACAGCAGCAGAGACACAACAATTATTTCATAAACTACAAACACGTGAAGAATGCCCTGGGTCAGAACTAAATGTTCCAAGACCTCCACCAACTACACCATAATCACATTTGGATGCAGCTACTCCAGCTCGCTTACTGATTTTCTTGTTATTCCTCCCTTCTCACTCACATCACTGGAATAAAATTCTGCAATACCAGTCTTATAATGTAATTATTTTTGTGCTGGACCAACTTTGCCTTTTATACTTATATTACTTGGACTAATGACCACCACTTTGCTAGGCTGAATCAAGCAGTTTTCTATTTTTCCTTGCAGGGCTGAAAAACTTGAAGACAATTCCCTACTACCTCTGCATCCATTCTCACTTGAATGTATAATTTCTTAAAAGATTAATTAAAAACTATGTATAGTTGTTACTGCATGTGTCAATTCTTACAGTTGTCTTTATTTGAGGTAAATGAATTCAAGACCCATCCCCTCTTCCAGAACTTCAGTGCCTTAAGCACTTTCACTCCCTCTGTCTAAAACACTGAAGTTTCTTTCCATCCTCTGTATTTTCATAACATCCCACTGCTCAGAAACAACTTTTTAAGACTGAAGCAGACACTTCAAGTTGAGAAAGATGATAATCAGTCTAGTTCAAGCTACTGTCTTATATGAGAAAAGAATTTGCTTGTTTTAAAACAGCTTTAACAACAAACCAATCTTAAACTTGCAATTCCCTTACTCCTAGAACTTGCTGCCTTCTAGGAAAATAAAAAGCAAGACTGCAGCCAACTTATCAAAAGACAACAAAAGCACTGCACTTTCCACAGATGCCCTTCACAGATTAGCATCCCAACCCATTCAGTTATTATTTATTATACTAAAGAGAAACAAGTCTCCTCTATCAGCTACATCTGCTAAAACACGGCCCCTAATTAATAAGGAGACAGAATAACTACCTCTGTCATTGAGTAGCCAGTTATCTCCACTACAGCTGCAGTTATCTTCTCGGGGCTCTTCTCCAAGCTGCCGTACTCCCGGACCAGGCACCGAACATTCACCGGGTGAAGGTACATGCACTGCCCGTCCTCCGCTGCAAGGTAAGACATCATCACTCCTTCTCTGCCTGTTCATTTTCAGTACCCTTCTCCCCACCTCAGTACACCCTCCAGTAATAAAATTAAAGCTCCTTTCTGAGGTTCTGTGGGACTTTTATTTCACAGGGGTTAGCTGCATCTAATAAAGGGACAAACTCCTCAAGAAGGATCCCAAAGGAGGCATCTCTGCCCCCATGATTCCAGGATTTTATTGCACTGACCTTGATAAAAATAGTAAAAAGGAGAGTTGCCAAGATGTCCAGAGCTAACTGTATCTTTAGAGTCTTGGTAACTTGTTTCAGCTGGATTTGATTCTTCCGTAGTGTTAGTATCAGGTTCCCCCACAGTGTCCACCTCAGGTACTTCCTCTTCATCCAGCACTGCCTCTTCTACTTCCACAGGAGGCGAAAAGGAACTTGCCAGGTCAGAGCAAGGCTCCACAAGCTCCTCATCAAATGCAGAGAGATATTCCACACCACACTACCACAGCAGAGAGGATACAGTTAGTACCACGCCACCTCCTTCAAAGATTATCATCTCTGCAAAAATCTTTGGCACGAGTTCACCGTACACTGCAGTGTGAAGTGGCAGAATAAAATATTAACAGGATCTGCCAGAGCAGAGTTGTCACCCACCTTTTTCTCTTGGGTAACTGCAGGCTCCACAGCCTTGGAGCTTTCTAGGACCAATTCTTCCACAGCTGCACTGATTCCAGCAATGCCATTGTTTTTATCCTGGTCAGCAGAGAGTGCTGTTTCTCGCTCCTGCAGGTCATCCAAAGGGAACAAGTTTCAATTTGCCATTTAAGCCATAAGACCACCACCACCACAGCTATTTTTAGCCTTGTCCTATACTTCAAGATTTCATAGATTTTCACAGAAATTCATCTGTGATGAAGAGTAACTCAAAGAGAGGTCCTCTCCTTCTTGGTACTGGAAAGAACACCCAAGTAGGACACCTAAAGGCTTAGAAAAGGAATATTGTACAGGTTTGCCCAAGAGAACACTACCATCTGTGCAGCAGAGCATGGATGCTCAGCACTCAGCACACTCTTAAAGTTACTAAAAGCCTCCAGAGAGGTTGTTACCTTCAGCTCCTGGATAGCTGCCTCAATAAAGCAAGCTTCTGGGGTGTGCTTTTCTTCCTCATACTGTTTCAGTAATGCTGCTTTCTCCTCCAGAATCACCAGCTGCAAGACCTGCTCCCTGGATGCCAGAAGCAGCTTTGAATACTGGCTGTGCTGGTCATCTGAACAGAAGGAGCACCAATCATTAGTGTCTGTATGTAGAGGCACCAGTTTGGGCTGCTGCTTCTTCTGAAGTTGTATTGCTGCTCAGTTTTGTGAATTAATCCCCCAGGGAAGACAATACTCAGTCCACATATTACCATTCTATCACAGGCTGGTGCCACATACCTGCTCTGCTAAAAACATCTCCCTCACACAGCAGTTTATCTGCCATTCAGTTGCTACACATAAAAAAAAAACGAAGCCTACACTTCTACATGATGGAAGCATTGCCTTTGAGGGGTCAAAACTTCCTGAAACAATGCAGTCTTAGAGCTTCTTCCTCTTCTCAATATACTCAAAAATACTGCAATTGGAAATTTCTTCAGTGCAACCTCTGGTTTGGCTCAAACTAATTCACAAGTCCATATGTATCAAAAATCCATACAAAACATTATGATGAGGTTTTTACAAGAAGCACAGCAGAAATAGTAAGAAAAAGAACTGCAAGTTCAGCAAAAGGTAGTCATCCTTGTTACAGAAGCACTTAACTATAGAGTTTACAGCAACCACAGCATCACATATTAATACAGTCCCTATATTCACAGCTTCCCAAGGGTCCAACCTTGTCTACAGAACATCAAGTTAATGCTGAATTGTCTGGCCTTAAAATGATCTCAAATCCTGTATTTGTTCTTTTGTTTGTTTTATGAAAGGATTTAAAAGATCTTTACTTTCAAATACTGAGAAACATGTAAGTCCACAGCCTCCATGCTGGATACCCATCACACTTTAGGAGACTTGACTTTTTCCAGAGGGTTTAAATGCATGCAGCCTTTCCTAACTAAATGTGACTGCAAAATGAAGTGAGCCAAGACAGCCCACAAAGCAGCCATGTTCAGTAAAATTATTTCTTTAGACACCAAATTTTTGTGATACTAACAGATAAGATGATGATGAGTTAGTCACATTCTTGACTGGAGAAAACTGGAGATGTCAGGCAACAGATGTTTGGAATAGGTTTGCAATAATTTTGATTATTTCACCATATCATTCACTGACTTCAGTTGATAAGTGATGATGAAAACCTTGTGAAGATTACAGCCTTGAAATAGTTTAGACACAGTTATTTTTGCTGAGCTGTATAATGAGGAGCCAGGGGGGAAAAAGTTAAGGACACTGAAGTGCCAATAAAAGCAGCAAGAGTCACACCAATGATTGTAGGATACAAAACACACACCAAACTAACAGCAGTGACTGAGAAGGCAGGAGTCTGCAGTGCAGTCACTTGAAGGGAAACAGCACATAAGTTAAAGCCTTACAAAAAAAAAACAAAGTGTGGGTAGAAAGTTTATTGTTAATATGTTGTCATTAAGCTTTTCAGCTGTTAAACCCCATGTTTTGTAATCTGGTTTATTTTAAGATGACAGCATGGCACTGCCAGGGCAAATTGTGTCTACACAAATCCTGGTCACAGCTGGGAGCAGGATTCCAGCCACCAGTACTTGGATACACTCACCTCTGATGTAAACAGGCTGCACCACATTCATCCACTGAGACTTGGGCAGTGCTATCAGAACACCTTTCTCCCTTCTCATAAGTTGCATGGTAATGGTATCACCAATTGCATACTGGCGTGTCTCCATAGCAACAACACTGCAATGCACGGAGGAGGTTAGCGGTGTAAAAATAACATTTTGAAGAGACACGTAATTTAATAAACATCGTCTCACCTCTTGAGATCCTTCTTGTGAACAGAGCCATAACAAATAGGACACTTACTCCAGGTCTTTTCGCTCAAGGAGAGATAGTGAAGGATACATGCCCAGCAGAAGATGTGCCCACAGCGGGTGATCTTGGCTGCGGTTGGTGGGTACAAACATATTGGGCAAGAGGGCACTTCATGGCTACAGATTCGCTGGAATGGCACATGAGAAGAATAGCACAAGTTTTAGACCCAGAAATCAGTTCCTGGGACACAGAATAAGCCACCTGTAAGATCTACTCTAACACTTTATCTTCCAGCTCTTTAGGCTCTGCTTATTTACCAAGAAATTAGTACACTGTGAATTAACACCTTCAGACTGCACATGGAACAACCTTCAGAGCCACCCATCTGGTATCTCTACTCTAATGACATTAAAAAGTGACTCTTCCCATGTTTCCCCTGAGCTATTCACCATCATCTCTAAGAGTTAGCAGCACCTTCATCATCCGAATTCAGACAGTGAGGAGATGGCAAACGAGCTCTGTGGCCTCACTTACACAAGCAGACTTGTGCAGCCCTGCTCAGCTGCGAGACTGAACTTACCCACTTCCATGAACATTCTGGGTTTAGTCAGACACTTTGTTAGCATCTCTGTGTGGCAGAGAGAACTGCCAAGCAAGCACCTCGATTTTTCAGCTCTCTTGGAGTGTCAGGTAACAGTAAGCCCACCTCCTCTCCACCTACACCAATGCACCAGACTGTCTTGGCAGATACAAGTTTCTGCTTGAGGCAACCCAAACTTCTGACCACAATTCTAAAGAGATTTTCTATTTTGTTGCTAGGCAAGATAGGCCACCTATGCACAGAATAATTCTTCAAAATTCTACACCCTAGTCCTCTTCCATGGACTCGTGCCCAAGTTTTCTGTTAATATCTCGATCACAAGGACTCTGTCTACAGAATGTCAGATACTATTTTTGATGAGCTCCCATCTGCAAAAGCAAGAAGAAGCTGCTAATTTTCCTAATAGATTTTAGCACTTCTCTTTTCCTGTCATGAAAGTATTTCATAATATATTCCATGACAGATCTTTCCCAGTATTGTGGGAGTGACAGAAAAGGCCTCAACTCAAAAACAGCTGAGTTTTATGTAACATCACAGAGGGAAAGAGGCAGTTAAAGACAGGTTGAGGTTCTTAAGAAAAAGAAGGAGAAAAAAAAAATCTAGCCCATCACAACTGACCACTTGCTCCACAAAGTCCCAGTTGACCAAGGTATCTGGATCAGCAAAGTGGACTGTGTAGTCCTGTTCTTCAGAGACAACAAACTGGCAGCTGGGGAAAGGCAAAGAGACAGATGATCCACTCAGTTGTTTCTAAAAATTCTTTGAGAACTATTTTACAGGATTCTCTGAGCTGCTTCTTTGTCCAGCAGAAAATTATGTAGTCAGTAACTGATGGATGTAGTCAGTAACTTCTATCTACAAAAATCAAGAGTTCAATTCACAACCAGATTTCCAGAATACAGATGGGTCTAATTTCAGTTAGACACAACATCACAAACTAACTACAGAATGAGCCAGGCAGTGTGGTTTTCCAGAAACATGTAAGGAATAGCCAGCTCCATCAGGGATCTATTAAAAAACAAGGAATCGACATGGGGAAAAAATGTGGTCACAAAAACTAGAACTACTGGGGTTCCTGCAAATAGATTTCACTACAATAAGCCACAAAACAATAGGGAAAAATCAGAAGCACCAGTACTGAAAATAGTTTTTATCTTTAACATTATCAGAGAGCGGAGTCCTGAACACACTTCAAACTCCAGAGAGAGCAACCATTATTTCCAGTCAAAAGCAATTCTGCTGCTGGATTACTATATGATCATCATTTGGGTTATACTACATACTTAGGGATTTGCAAAATAATCAACAGCTTAAGAACTAAGACCTATATAAGTAACTGCCTCTGGAAATTACAAATTCAAATCAGCTTTCATCCAGCAACTGCTCTCTCTTCCATCTCAACATACCAATTTTTTGGAAAAAAATCACAGTCCCCCATAAGGGAACTACACAGATATTCCAAAATGGAGTGTCATATTCCAAAGTGATGACAGAAAATTAGAGCAGATTAACTGGTTTGTAGCTAAAGGACTCACTCCATGGGACACCTTGTAAATAGGTAAGAACAACGTCCCTTTCAAATATAGTCATTACCACTAAAAACAGTATGGCAAGGTAATTTCACCCTGGAAAAGACAATCCAAGTAGTCAAGGCCAAACACAATTCCCTGGCTGTTCACCCCTTACAGCTCAGTGTCTCTGCACAAGTATAAGAGCCCTGTTGGTCTCCCACTCACTTGGCCTGTAGGAAAAGCTCCTTGTTGAACGGTTTATGTCCCCACTTGTTCCTTTTCCCCCAGTTGCCATGTCCATTCCCATCAAAATGTCCTGCTTGGCCACGGGGTTCAAAAGTGAAGTTCAGTAAGTGGTTCAGATTTATCTTCTTGGGGCCAGAGAATTGGGCAGGGCTGAACTCTGCCCGTTGAGCCTCTGCTACCTAAGAGACAACAGCATTTGTTAGAACCTGCCAGAATTTACTGCAAAAGCATCAGTACAGGTGGATACCCAGGCCCCATCAGTGATTACACACAGAACATGCAGCATTCCCTCACTCACCTTCTCCCATCCCAGTTCTGCAAATCAAGTAGTGCAGCGTTAGAAGTGCAGGAGAATCTGAAAGTCAGAACTCAGTGATCTTACCCCACACTGAGTAAAAGGAGGAGAGTGTAAAAAGAAACACAAGTAAGGACAAGTAAAAGCTGGCAAAACCCAGTCAAGGTGAGTAACAGAATAAAGTTGTTCAAATCCAGACAATATTCTTTTAGACAGACAGCAATACAACTCTGATTACTGTTTGCACAGGTTGTACTTGTTTCAGTTAGTTTTCACATAATGAAGCAAAGAATGAGAATTCAACAGAGGCAGCAGGTGAATTTTGAGTCAGCAGTCTAGGTAAGCAGTGCTGCTCATCCACCAAAACTGAAAAATCAGAGAATCAGTTAAACCCCACAAACAGCCTACGGTATTTAGATCCACATCAGCATAAAAGCCTCAGTCTGGTTTTACTCCACCTTGATGTCACTTATGCCAATACATTTACTTTCCCAAAACCCCCATCTCATGTAAATTTTTGCACTGAAGTGGTTGGACAAAATCAATTTTCAGAGGGCAAGCTTTAGCCTGTTCAGGAGACTGAGTCCCTTGGGAGGATGTCCTGAAGGGCAATGGAGTCCAGGAAGGTTGGACATTCTTCAAGAAATCTTAAAGGCAGAGGAGTAAGCTGCCCCCATGAGCCAAAATATGAGTCAGTGGGGAAGAAGACCAGCCTGGCTCAACAGAGAGTTTTAGCTGGAACTCGGGGAAAAAAAGGAGTTCATGACCTTTGGAAGAAGGGGCAAGCAGCTCTGAAGGACTACAAGGATGTCATGAGGTTATGCATGGAGAAAAGGAGAAGGGCCCTAGAAACTAATCTGGCCGCTGCTGTAAAAGACAATAAAAAATGTTTCTATAAATACATTGGCTACAAAAAGAGGGCTAAGGAAAATCTCCATCCTTTATTGGGTGGTGGGAGGTGAAACAGTGACATAGGAAAAGGCTGAAGTAATTAATGCCTTCTTTGTCTCAGACTTTAATACTAAGACCAGTGTTCCGCAGGATACCCAGCCCCTGAGCTGGAAGACAGGGACAGGGATTGGAATGAAGCCCCCATGATCCAAGGAGAAATGGTCACCTGCTGTGCCACTCAGGCACACACAGGTCTATGGGGCTGGGTGGGAGGGCTCACTGGGGAAACTGGGTGGTCCCAGCTCACTGGAAGTCAGCAAATGGGATGCTGGGCCAGAAGGAGGATCCAAGGAGTTACAGGCCCATCAATCTGACCTCAATGCCAGGGAAGGTTATGGAGCAGATGATCTTGAGTGCCACCACATATAATGTACAGGACAACCAGGGGATCAGGCCCAGCCAGCACAGGCTTGTGAAAGGCAGGTCCTGCTTGACTAACCTGATCTCCTATGACAAGGTGACCCATTTAATGGACAAGGGCAAAGCTGTGGATGTTGTCTACCTGGACTTCAGCACAGCCTTTGGCACAGTTTCCCACAGCATTCTCCTGGAGAAACTGGCTGCTCTTGGCTCAGATGGGTGCACTGCTCCCTGGGCAAAAAACCAGCTGGATGGCTGGGCCCTGAGTGGTGGGGAATGGAGTCACACCAGCTGGGGCTGGTCACTAGTGGTGCTCCCCAGGGCTCAGCACTGGGGCCAGTCCTGTTTAATGTCTTTATCAATGATCTGGCCAAGGGGATGGAGGGCACCCTAATCAAGTTTGCAGACAACACCAACTTGGGCGGGAGTTGATCTGCTGGAAGGCAGGAAGGCTCTGCAGAGGGAGCTGAACGGGCTGAGGTCATTGGTATGAGGTTCAACAAGGCCAAGTGATGGGTCCTGCACTTGGGTCACAAGCCCCATGGAATGCTCCAGACTTGGAAAGCTGCCTGTCAGGAAAGGACCTGTGGGTGCTGGTCAAAAGCAGCTGACCTTGAGCCAGAGTGTGTCCAGATGGCCAAGTAGGCCAAGGGCATCCTGGCCTGTATCAGAAATAGTGTGGCCAGCAGGACCAGGGAAGTGATTGTCCCCCTGTACTGGGCACTGGTGAAGCTGTACTTCCGAGTCCTGGGGTCAGTTATGGGTCCCTCACAACAAGGACATTGAGGAGCTGCAGCAGGTCCAGAGAAGGGAACAGAGCTGGGGAAGGGTCTGGAGCCCAAGTCTGATGAGGAGCAGTTTAGTCTCTCAGAGCAGAGAGCACTCCTCTTCAGTTGTTGCCAGGCTGCTCTGCTCACAGTCCCTCTGTCATCTCAATAATGTTAGTTAGCACCTCTTATCACTCTTTCCCTTCCCAGCCCAGGAGCTGAACACAGCAGACCTATCTAGGCAGGTCAGAGCATCCTGTCATCCCAAGAAAGAAGGCCCTGGAGGTGTGGCATTACAATTCTCACCTCATCTCGTCTCCCACCATTAGAAGAGCTAAAAGGTTTGCCACTTCCGCCGCTGCCTCCCCTTTGAGGGGGCATCTTGTTAAAAGCTTTGCTTTTCTGTGAATTGGAGCGACGGGACTGACTGCAAAAGTTCTCATTTTTTGAATATGAAGTTTCTCTTTTACGATTATAACGCTGTTTGGATCCACTCGCATTCTTTCCATCTGAAAGGAAATAAAAAAAAAAGAGAATCAGGTCAGCAGCCTCAGAGTTGACCCCGTGTAACTTCACCTCAGAGAGAAGTTCACCTCAGCCACTACCTTGAGCCCTGGTGTTTATCAGGACACCAAATCCCCCAGCAACCCCAACCATTTCATTCCTGTCACTGCCCAAAGAGCTGGTCAAAGAGTTTAAAAGAAGGATATATTTGCTGTGCTTTATCTTTTATCAGAATGGTTGAATTTTCTTTATCCAGATTTGGAATTGCCTTCCCCAGATGTTGGTGTGTTGCCTGGTTCATTAAGCAATAAACACCAACATCACATACCACATTACAAAAACTGACAACAACTAGTTCTTTTTTCATTCCATTTTCTGAAAACACACAATTTATCATATATTGTTCCCTCATATAAATACACTGCCTGTTTTCACTCAGTTCTGCCCCTATGCTTAAAAGACCCCAACAGATCTAATTCTGTTTTAAAAATATATGTCTATGTCATGAAGCCAACAAATGCTAATTGATCTTGAAGTACAAACTCAATGCTCTGTGGCCTTGCAGGGCACATACCTAATGTCTAAGTACTAAGTCCACCAACCTATGCAGCCAGAACTGTTTGCCAAAAAACATGCTTAGCACACCACTGACCCTAATACAGGACACAGTGGTGAAGCACAAAACAAAATACTGCAGGAATAAAGCTCACAAGAGCAGAAAAATCAGTCAGGCTCCTGAGAGGAGTTCCCTGTGTCTAAAACAGCTGCTACATCAGACTGCTAGAACAGGGTGTTAATACTATGAAGGCATTTCTAGTAGTCTTAACACAAGATCAGAGTTGCCCAAGGACACAACAGACTGCTGACCTGTCGCTTAACCTGGCATTTCCACCACCTGCCCTAAGTTTTATTTGTAGAAGATGTATGTTGATAAGCTCAGAAACAAAACTCCACAGGCCCAGCAAGACATCCACCCGCACCAGCCAGCCCCGAAGTCACTCTGGATACCCAGTAAACATTACACAAACAGCAAGGCCCCACACAATATCTAGTTGCATTTATAAAAGCCTTCTGGTTTCCCTTTTCCCACTTTGCAGTCCTCCCCACCCCTTAATATAAACCTTACATGTTAGGCAAACACACCACTGTGGTTCAGGATCATGTTTCCACGTGGGCAGTTTCATTGCTGGTGCTTCCCCTTTTCCCCTTTCCCAGCACTGCTTCCCATCTACCCAAGCATTTAAAACATTTGGAGTGGTGTCATTCACATAAAGTTTTTCTTTTTTTTTTTTTTTTTTTTTTTTTAAGTTTCCTCTCCCACTTGCACCCCCCAAAAAAGGTGGGCAGAGGACTGGAAGGTTGTGTGTTATTATACATTACTGAGAATCCAACTGCTTAAGAATAAACTAAGTAATAAAAGTGGCTGGATGGGGTTTTGTGGTGCTCTGCTGCTTCTTCCACTTGGCAGATTTCAGTCTTTGCCTGCAACTACAGCTATAGAAAGACACTATCATTACTTTCACATGATGTGACAGAGCCATTTTTTGCAGACAAACTTTATCATCAGAACTGGTCATTTACTCTGCTATTGAAAGGGCTGATCCTTTAATTCAGAATTAAATCAACTCTGTCAGAAGCACAGCTGTGTAACTCAAACATATGCTTGCATAGCTGGCACTGCTTTAATGCACATCAGGCTAAAAAGACATGGCTTGAGCGTTATCAGGAAAAAAACACACCAGAAGCTGCCAAGTACTGAGGGTGTGACCAGGTCTGGCTGAATGATTACTCCAAGTGTTTCTTGAGAGTGTTTGTAGGGAAGAAGGAATAATCAACACCTCTGAGTCTCTGGTAAAAAATTAAGTAATTTTGAAGAGGTTTGGACTGTTACTTCAGTTATTCAGAAGCAGAACTTGTCCCTTTAGAGCTCCACGACCTTCATAAATCTCCAATTTCAGTGAATACTCCAGAGGGGCACACACCTACTGCCTGTACAACTTTGCAGTTTCTCTGCAATCTTCAAATGGGGAAAAGAAACAACTCAAGAGAAATCAGTCTAAAGTGGGTCTTTACAAGGACCAGGAACAAGGAACAGCTTGCACCTGCAGCTGACAGAAGAATTTCCTACCACTTCAAGCTTTAATCAAGTTACTCACCACCAAATTTGTCAGTCAGCTGGTTTACACACATTCCTGTCATACTACAGATCCTTTCAAGACAACTCTCAAAGTCTTTGAGAATCACTACTGACTCTCACGTTTATAGGGAAGGACTCTCCACCTGTGCCTGTGTTAAAAGGACCTTACAACCAATCTCACAATGCTTCAAATCTGATTTTATGGATTGCTAGTTCCTCCCTGCTCCCAGAATAATTATCCTCAGGAGAAGTCTGGTCCATCAGAGTAGCACTGAAATCAGTCAGCAGACAAGATCTGGACTATGAATTTGTAAATTTGAACACTTTTCCTCCACCCTGAATCCAAGCAACGCTGCTCCAACCCTTCCAGCACTCCACATCAGGGAGCTCTCTGCTTTATATCACCCATCCCTGCACTCCACAAAGAGCAGGGCAGGACAGCTGCACTCATGCAGGGAGAAAAGTGAAGGATTCTCACTGCTATCCTCTCTTGTTAGAGCCCAGTTTTAAGCAGCATAAGTTTGGATTTGATAGTTTGTTTTTTTCTTTCTTTCCTTGGCTAATTAGGAATGAGCAACAGCAAGTGCTGGTGAGGTACTTACTCTTCACTCAGGTCCTCTGTCCTTTTGCTGTTCTCATAGGATCTAACCCATATACATATATATATATATACACACACAGAGATTATGTGGATGTAGCTACCCATCCACACTCCAAGAGACTTATAAAAAAATACTGTCTACATAACTTAAAACCACAAATAACAAAACTGTTCATGCATTTTGGAGCAGGCCCTGTATCTCCAAAGACCCAGAGAGAGGAGACCAAGTTCACAGGACTAGGAGCAGCTCTAGGTGACCATTTTGGCACTGGGGCTGCAGTACTGGTTTGCTGCTGGGGTGAGAACTGTAGTTTCCTTCCACCTTTATTCATCTCTTCTTTTCTGCTGAGCTGTGCTGAAGCCAACAGTATTGCATAAGGGGTTTGTGGTGGATCACACTAAAGCCACAGGGTGGTTTCATGAAAACACACTGAAGCTATTGCTGCTGCCAAGGCAAACATCCCAGTGAGCAAGAGGTGACCAAGCACTCACATAGCCCAGCCAAGCATCTCACACGGGGTATGATAAGGCCCAGAACTTCTCTAAGAATTAATTATGTCCATCAGGTCTCCAGGACTGCAGAGACACCCAACAAGCCTGTTTTTCCTTAGCTACTTTGTTCCATCCTAATGGAATATGATTCCTGTTGGAATATATAACCCAAAGAAACTTTTCTGCTGGAAACTTCCGAGTTTAATTTAGTCTCTAAGGCCAAGTTTGAAAGATAGGTGGAATCCAACTTCCACAAGTAGAAGAGAATGTAATATTCTATTTAGCCCATTTCCAGCTGTGCTGCAAGAGAAACAGAAGGAGAAGCTGCCACAGAGTTTCACGAGTGTCCATTTCCTCAGCTGGGCAGTTACAGCAGGTAACTCTGGAAAGCATGAAATGGCAAGAGCTGGAGTGAACTCAACCCAGTGACCATCTGGGGAAGGTCTGTGGTCCATAAAAATACTTTCCATTTCAGAGGAGAAACAGAGAATACATCCTACACCTTTCCTGAAAAGGCAGGGAAATTGGGTGGACCACATCAGCTACATGTCCAATGATAAGGAACTCAAGAAAAAAATCACATATGGTGACGTGCCAGTGTCCTACATGCAACAGCTACCAAAACACACAATTAACAGAGGTCTTAATAACTTTGAAAATCAGAAGTATTGGAGTAGGCATCAGGATTCCTCTCCCCACTGCTCCTCTTCTACTGGTGGCATTGTTTCAAGCCTGTAAAACGTGACATTCCACAAAAATCACTTAACATTTTCATTGTGGGCTGAAATGACAGGCCTTTTACTTCCTTCCTCAGCACAGATACCATATCTTCTACATGAAGGCATGCCAGCCACAGCACAGGCCACCTTAACTCCTTCCTGAAGGATGTTTGTATTCTGTGAACAACTCTCCATACAGCACCACACATCACTACAAAAGAAGCTGTAGTGAGGAGGTGTCTCTTGGCAAGACAGGGACAGAAAAAGTTCTCCCTAAAAAGATTTTTACATGTTTGAAGTTAAAATTTCACTGTAATTGCACAGTTACGCCACAACCTGGGGAGCTGTGGGTGAGTCACTTCCCATGTCCCACTTCTGTCAATCCTGTGGAAGATCAATTAACAGAGGTGAAGAGCAGGTAATACTTGGTTACCCATGACATGAGCGCATTTAGGAGGTCCAAAAAGAAGTCAACAAACACCTTCAAGATACCCATTTTGTTAACTCTCTGGGGTACACTGCTGCTTTCTCAGAGACCTGAAGTAATACAGCTGAAACAAACCACTGAGGAGGAAGGAAATTAGTACAGCAATGGTGTTGTAGTAACCTGTTGACACCCTCTCACATAGTTACAGGATTAAAAACACTAATTTTAATCACTATTGCCCTATTTCTAATTTTAGAAAAAAAAATGCAAGGTTGCCAGGAACACTCTGCTCCCCAAGATGTTTAGAGAACCAGCGTGGGCTTAGGTCTTACCATGAAAAGATGACAGGAACTATCCTGGCTCCTGGTGAACCGCTTTGTCAGCAGAACCAGCTGTTTGCAATGACAGCTGTGACACTTTGGCTTGAATGCCAGATGAGCAAACAACACACATCTAACTCCGAGCTCCCCCAAAGCAGGTTACAAACACCAGGATAAGGGGAATGCTGTGTACGATATCAGACCCTCAGCAAGGTGTAACAACACACTGAGTACAGAATGAAGTTAAGGGTTTTTTCACAGGCACTGGCAAACGTATGTTCTTACTATAGAAGCAGAGCTTTAGCTCTAAAGCTGATTACTCCAATAGTAATGAAGATAAAGTACTAATCCTTAAAGGAAGAGGAGAGTGGGAATCCCAGCTCTGCGAACAGCGAGCAGAGCCGGAAGAGGAAGGAAAAAGAAACCAAAAACAAGCAGTGACCTGAAACGCCGCCTATTAAAAACCCAGCTGAGAGACAAACAACCCGACAAGGCGAAGTCCAGCTTCGCCACGAACCCAACCGCGGCACAGGCCGTGGGCCCCCACTGCCCCACGGTTACCCCCTCCCTCCCTCCGGAGCCCCTTCCGGGTTCCAAATGCGTGGCTAGACTCCCCCGCGGCGGCCCCGGCCGAGGCGACCGCCCGGCTGCTGGCCTTTGCTGCCGGTCGAGGGTCCGGGGCCGGAGCCGCAGGGCTGCTCTGTCCAGCGGGGGCGGGCGGGGGTGCGCCGGGCGGCCTGCAGCACAACTGGCGCCCCGGCGCGAGCGGCGGCCCAGGGCGGGTGCACACGGCGCGGCGGAGCCGGCGGGTCCCAGGCTCATGCCCGCGGGCGACCGGCGGGGCGGCCGCAGCGCGGCACCTCGGCCCCTTCATGGCGACACTCCGCTGCTCCCCGACACCGGGGTGGCCGCGGATCCCGGGCGGCCTGCGGGGCTTCCGGCGAAAGGAAGGGAAAAGGACGAGCGCCCAGGGAGCCCACGCGGGCCCGGCGCTGCTCGCCCGAGGGCGGGACCACCACCGGCACCACCCCGGCTCCGTCCGGGCCAACCGGCCCGGCCGGCCGCCGCGGCCCGTAAATGGCGACGATCGCCCGCAGCAGGGCCGGACCCCGGAAGAGCCGGTGCCGGGCGGGCCCGAGGGCATGACGGGACTCGTAGTCCTCGGCCGCGCGGGGCGCCGGGAGCCGCGACACCGAGCCCTGCCCGCCCCTCCTCCGGCGGCCCCCGAGAGGGCCTAACATCGTCTGATAGCAAATCACTGCCGCCGACCTGCAGCAAATAACAGCAAAAGCAAAGAAAAAACACAAAACCCCAAAACCGTCGTGCCTAATTGAAGCGATAGTTTTTAACTCGTCCTTCAAAGCAAAACGGGGAAAAGACCCCACGAGGCAACAGAGATCCTAAAGGCATTTTTTTAAAAAAACTTTAAAATAATATAGATCTTGAATGCAGCTCCTGATCCCCTCCCATTATTTTAGGGATGAGAGCTTCAAGTTCAATGGGAGTGCAGTTCCCAGTTTGTTCAAAAACAGAAGGGGTGGAGCACATAAGGGCACCTCTCCCCCCATAATTCATACCATGATCTGAATCTACAGCCCTCAAGTAAAAGCTTCAACACTAGTTTTGTACCTACAGAGATAAAGCCATAATTTGAATTTTGTTGCTCATTTGCTGCACCTGCTAAAGGAAAAATTCTCTGCCCCATGCCCTGTAACACCAGATCAACAAATCCGAGAACTTGTGCTTTACACATTTCAATAAATCCTCTATAAAAATTATTTTAAGAAAAGCCTCATAAAAGGCCTTATTTAAACTCCTGTTTGTTTCCTGTTTAGGTCTATTACTCTTAGAATTACAGACCACATTATGAGTATGGTTACCACAGTGTTTAGATCTTCTGGATTTGAGAGAAAAAAGCTTTTCAAGGCAAAACACAACATTTTTATTTGCAAATAAGCTGGCTGTGGGAAGAAAATAAATACAAGGAAGTTGCCCCTCCCGCCCCCCAGTAAAAACAACTATGCTAATGAAATCCCTGACACTGCCCTTGGAGGCCAAGGTCTGCTTCCTCAGGGAGGCTGAAGGCACCAGGCTTTGTGCCATTAGCACACAATTGAGTCACAAGATGAGAGTCTGAGAAACAGTCCATGGTTCTGAGCACCCTTGAGGAGAAAAGAACACAGGCAGAAGAGGATGAAGGGACTGGTCTTGAGTCACACAGCTGCAGAATTCCTTCCCACGGTGCACTGCCAGGTAGGAATGCTTTAAATATATTTCCTGTCAAAATCCTGCAAGAGAGACCACTAAGAACTTACCTTTACTATTCAAGTGCTCTTTCTGGAGCAAAGAGTAAAGGATTAAATAGAGTCCACAGAACTCGTCCCTTTTGAACTACTTACATACCAACATTTTTGCTTCATTTTTTTAAAGTCCAAAATAATGTTCAATCGGAAAACATTATGAACAAACACTCATCCTCTTTAAATGAGCTGCAGTGTTATGCTCAGCACTGCATTCCTCCAGAGACCAAGTGGCACACTCCACAACATCTTGCTGCATCTT